CCGAAAACTCACAAAAAACAGCGCACAACCCTCAGAAAAGGACGCAGAAAGAACGGTTTGTTCGTTTCAACTTCTTTTTTTTTTTTTTTGGTCAAACCCTCATAATCCACGGGCTGTAATCTGTAGCTGTTCTGTAATCTGGGGGAAAAGCTTCTCCTTCTCTCTGCAGCTCTATCTGCACTTTATCCCCTCATCCTGCTCTCACACTCTAATTTTTGCTGTAATTTGCTAAAGAGCGCGTGCTGATGATCGGTGGCTGTGCGGTTTTCTGTTTACACTCTGCAGCCGGCATCATTCTGCTGCATGTGCTTGTGTGTGTTTGTGCACGTGAAGGTCCACCCCCCCGTCCAGCTATCTTGGATTAAAACTACAAATCACCCCCCACCTCCTCCCCCACGCAGTAGATGAATCAATGAGTGCAGATATCTGTGTCGCCATCAGGGAGTCACATGACCCCGCCTCCAAACCACAACGCACGGCAGCGGCGCGGCGTCCACGCCCCCGGCAATCACCGCTCCGGGCCGTTTGTCACGCCTGACTACAGAATAACTGAAAGCCGTAGCATTTACGGAACGGATACACGGATAATTTAATCTCGCCATTCACAGCGTGGGCTTAGCGGAGCTTTGCGCTCCCTGAGTGTCCTTCTGGTTCTACTGGGATTTCCTCTATGATGAAATATCCTTCTGTCACAACACGGAGTCACCTAACATCACTTAATACCACCCCGCCCTCCCCCTTCTGACCCCAAAACAGACTGTATATTAATCAAATACGCAGACTAGGTATCCCGCTCCAAACTGGAGCAGGGTTCATCATTTTTCTCATTCTTCTAATGATTGAATTCTAGGCCTCGCACCACAACAAAGCCCCCTGTTACCACGGTAACCCCTCAATGTGTCGATCCTCACAGGCCTGTCAATCACGTGGAAGGGATTACTATGATACTATTCCGTCGCATCGCCCACAATTTGCAACTGTTTACTTTGAAATCATGATCATCGGGGTTTTTTCATTTCAAACCCTTCGGTTTTGACGACGTGCAAAAGGGACGAGCTGGTAGCCGCCGGTACGAGAGGGCGCATTCTTCCCAAAACCTCGGGAGAGGTGAAGTTGGAGGGTTCCTCGAGGGTTCTCATTACCAGAAATGTTCTGAGGTCCAGTTTCTCCCCCCCTCCGTGACTCCCCCACGCTTGTCATCGTGCATCTTCAGTTTGAGCGTTACACGTCGCCTAAAACAAACTCCGCCGCTCTGCTGCCGGACGATTTCCACGCATATGTTCCGGCGAGCGCACTCGGGGTCACAACATGCTGACGGTGCAGGAAGGACACCACACTTTGATCAAAAGCACACGGAGCACTATGTTATCATTCTGTAATGTAAATATGTATCACTTCATGAACTATTAATATGAACTACTGGCCGGAGCACGTCGTTGATCTTCAACGGGACGGACACGTAATTACACATAATCACTTCCAGTTCAGTCGTGTACAACGCGAGTTACAAATAGGATACGGATGTTCTCTCTGAGACAAAAAGAAACCAAGGACAAAGACACCGTTACCAATTGGTTCATCAATTATTTGTCTGAGCACATTTAAGGTCCTGAACTTCAAAGTGAAGCAGAAGCTCTGACTCATTGAGACTTGGTTTCGGTCTCTTCTGTTTACAGCCAGAAGAATAACGTGTGAATAACGCACACTTTCTGAATGACCAGAATATTGGTTATCAATAGATCACTATGTCTAAATAGGAATATATGTATAGATATAAATAAGGGTGTGTGATATATGTCATACTTTCCCTCTCACCTGCTGCTCTGAACATCAGCACTGTTAATAAAGAAGATCCATGACCGTCACCTGATGTGTCGGGTGTGTCTCCTGTAATTGTGTGCGTTGGAGGTGTTTGTGTGTGTGTGATTCTCCAGCAGAGAAACCAAGAGTTCCTGTTTAATTATTCAAACATAAACCTGGAGTCACACAGTCACACACACACACACACACACACACACACACAGTGCTGCACACACACCGTCCGCCACTCGCCCTTTAACCTCTCTCCTTCACTTCCTGTCTCTTTATCTCGCTGCTTCTGTCCTGCTCTCATCCTCTCCCATTCTGGTCCTCCTCCTCACCCCTCGTGTCCCTCACCCTCCAACCACCTCCCCCTTTCCCTTTGTCAGTGTGCAGTGGACTGAGCACTCAGAGCTGATCCGTTCTGGCATTTGAGGAGAAGCATTTTTCATGGCACTGCTGGAATGTCCAGAGACCGACACACCAGAGGAGACAAGCAGAGGAGGGAGGAGAGAGGAGGAGGGGACGAGGTTGGAGGGGAGGGAAGGATATGAGGCAAGGATAGAGGAGAGAAAAGGATAGAAGGATTGAGCAGCGGGCGGCGGAGGGTTGAGGAGAGAGGTGACAAGAAGGGAAGAGAGGAGGAGACAAGGGAAGAGGTGAGAAGTGGAGAAAGGAAAAAAAGTGAAGGGGAGAGTGGAGGAGAGGAAAGGAGACAAGGACAAAGGAGATAAGACGTAACAAGGGGAGAGGGAAGTAGACGAGGATAGAGGAGAGGAGGCGAAGAGATGTTAAACCGGGGAAGGTGTGAAACTGAATTAGGGGAAAGACGAGGAGAGGAAAAGAGGAAGCAGGACAGAAACGCTGTGAGAAGAGGAGGCAGCAGAAGGTGAGAGGAGAGGAAACAGGAGAATTTAAAGGGTCCCGGTGATGAAATGGGAGAGGAGGAGAGCAGTTCCAAGGCTGTAATTGAAATCTAATTATCACCTCAAGTCCCAGCTGACTCCACGTCAAACACCCTGCACAGACACACAAACGCACGCACACACACACATATTTGTGCACACGTCCGCACGTGTACTCGTACCATCATCAAATTATTACCACTAACATCTGGCATCTTCACACACCAGTAATCCCCCCGTCCCGGGAGCAGTGTAGGACCTTTGTGTACTTTCACCTCCCTCTCTCTCTCTCACACACACACACACACACACACGAATACACGCATCCTTCTCAGTGTACACACGTACACACATTTTTGTGCATTCATGCAGAAACACACACAGTCAAGGGTGGAAGATGGGGAACAAGCATCCTCCTAATTTCTCATTTCCCTCTGATCACTGTTCTCACACATGTGCAACGTCATCACTATCACGCACTTAACGTCATGGCACACACACACACACACACACGCACATACGCACACACACAAACACACCTATGCAGGAAAAAAGAGACACGCGTACGCACACACAACCATTAAACAGCATTTAGGCTAAATGGCAACACGTCAGATTTAGCCTGCACTGTCCTGACCTCCTAATGACAAGCGCGCGTGCGCGTGCGTGTGCGTGCGTGTGACAGGAGGATGGAGGGATACTGACTGGCTTTCCCTGGCCGAGGTCTCTGTAGAAGCCGCTGAGCGGTCAGCAGGTCCTCGGTCTTCGCGGCCTGGAGCAGCTCCTGGTCCTTCCCCATGTCCCCTCCGTCCCTCCCGCTCCCTCCGCCGCGCGACCCTCCCTCCGCCGCGCTCTCTTCCGCTGAGCGACCCTCTCTCCGCCGCTAATCCGCCGCTACATCCTGCCGCCGCTCCGGGCCTCCCCCTGGAGCCGAGGCGCGGAGGGGTTGCTGCCCGCCCCGGGGAGTGGGATGCGCCGGTTTGGGCCAGGGGTCCGGCGCTCGTCTCCTCCCTTGCACGGCACCTTCAACCCTCCTCCACCCACCACCACCACACACACACACACACACACACACACACACACACACTCCCTCCCGAGCGACCGGAACGACCGGACCCCGCGCGCGCTCTCTCCGCCCCCACCCCCTTACGAAAAAAGACGCGACAAATTCCACCGATTCGACCCCCGCGTGACGGTTTCCGCGCGGTCTACGTGCGTGCGGTGGAGCTGATGTTCAGCGTGTGACCGCTGCGACGCATGCCGGACCAGCTCGCGCCAGCCCCAGCGTGCACACGCACACGCGCACACACACGCACACGCGCGCACGCAGTCACTGTCACGTATGGCATTACATAAACACGAGCTACTTGTGCGCGCGACGCTCCAGCTGTTGTAATCCCGGTGCGCGGGTTTCCACGCGCGTGCGTGCGGACGAGCCCGGGGAGGTGGGTTGACATAGAACGTGCTCAGTCGCGAGCACGCGGGGCAATGGTGGGGGGGGGGGGGGGCCCCCAATGAATCTGTCACTTATCTCTCTCATAACAGAATGTAATTTCCCGTTTACATATTTTATACGTGTGTATTTCCCTTCTAATAAATGTTCTTTTAGTCAATCCGCATCTAATGCAAAGCACTATTAATTGTATATTTGTTTTAAGGTGCAACACAAATAAACTGACCTGCCTCAATGTGTGTCGTCGTGGTGATGGTTCTACATCAAAGTTGTTTAAGGTTAATGAGGCAGGGATAATGTGAGGACAGGAAAAGTGTGTGTGTGTGTGTGTGTGTGTGTCCCTGATGCACGGCTAATTTAGACTAAAGGGGCCACTGGCAGTCAGATTTAGGACAGGAAGTGGAACGAATGACAGAAGACTTCAAACTGTGTGTGTGTGTGTGTGTGTGTGTGTGTGTGTGTGTGTGTGTGTGTGTGTGTGTGTGTGTGCGAGCTTTGAATTTGTGTACTGACACATATCTGATTGGCAGATCGTTTTCCAGTTAGACAGCTTGAGACACGCCCCTCTTCGCACACTCATTCACTTTGGTGTAAATGAAGAATTGTATTCGAGACCACGAAAATGAGCTGCGTCCCAATGCCGTGCAGCTTCTGAGTGTAGCGTTGCGCTGTAAAATTAGAACCACCAAAAAGAGGCTTCATTTCATGCTGAAATAGAGCAGCTGCAAAAAGAAAAGCCAGCTGCAGAACCCAAATATTTGTTTCTCTTCATGAGGTATAATTGGAATAATAATAATAATAATAATTGGAACACTTGCTAGTTTCAAAATAAAGAATGCAGGTTTCTTGTGCACCACTTTCAAAAACAGTTTATTATAAAGCTAGTGAAAGGAATATATTGGACATACTTTTGGAGTTGTAGCTGCTCTCTGGAGGTTGTAGCGTTAGCATGCTGACATTAGCATTGAGAAGCTAACGGGGGGGACAACATTACCGTGGGTTCACATGCATTATACGATCTTATGTATTCAACATGAACAAAACTTTGCAAAGCATCAAACTTGTATGTAATCATCTGCTGCTCCATAGGACTGAAGACTCTTACACATGTTATCCGATTTCAATTGGATTATATTCTTTTTTTTGTGCTGAGGAGTTAGATTAATTAAATGCGGGATCCATCCATAAAAAAAAAAAAAAAACCTGTTGCTTTCTGATGAAAATGAGGTATTTTTCCCGATCATCCAGAGAAAAGGACTTTCCCAAGATAACGAGATCATTAACCCTTTTGTCCAGAGATAATGAGATAATTCATTCATGATCTGGAGATAACAGGATTAAAAAAACATAATTGCAATCGCCGGGTTTCAAGGTTTCCATTCAAAACAGAACAAACGACAATAAAATATCAGTGGTCAGAAACAAATAACTCCAATAAATCACTGTAAGATGATGAGCTGCTGATACCTCTATTGGCCGACGTTAAATAAATGTTAAATATTCACGAATGTTGCAACCGATACACATCATACGTAAAGTGATGCAGCAGTTTGACAGGATATGCTTGTGGTGCTTTACCAAAAAATGAACAGCGTACCGTGGTTGATCTGTAAAACATAGTGTGTGCAAATGGACCTGGAGGGGAACTTGCAGCTCAAACACTCAAGCTGTGTTATTAAAAAAAAAAAAAAGAGCATTTCTTTAACTTAATAACATCTTCACACACAGGCGTCTATACACAACAAGGGTACGCACGGACATAGTCTTTGACTTGAGTGCTGATTCCAGGTAAGGTGCTTATGTTTTCCGCCCCGTACGCGACCATGAGAGCCCTCCTGCACATCTGCTTGAGGCGCTCCGGGCGCTGCCTGCGATATGGCGCCGTCAGCTTGCAGGACGAGCCGGTGTAATAAGTGAGCAGGTCGAAAAGCGACGCAAAAGTCTTGTGGCTGCCCGACAGAGTGAAGAGCAGGTCGTTGAGCTGCACGCGAACGCTGGTCGGTCCGTCGTCGCTCTGGTAACTCAGGGTGAAGAAAACGTCCGTCTGGCCGCTGTCTCTATAGCAACACAGCAACGAGCATTTGCATGTCACTTTGAGCAGCCTTAATGGGGATTATTATCCTGCGTGGTGCTTCTTATCGGGAGAAGGGTGCCGGGTGACTGTATCTACATGTTAATGACCAATTCTGATCGTTAATGATCCATTTGCTCAATAGATATTTGTGTTTCCAGATGAATCTCTAGGCCTACCTGATGAGGAAGGTGCCCGGCTGTGTCCGTGCGAGTATTGCGTGCGCTTCCTCCATGGTCATCGACGCCCAGTAGTAGCCGCTGTGTTGCAGCTGGCGGTGGGTGTGTTTCACCAGTTCGTACTCCGCCGCGCTGCTGAACGGACGGAAGTGGGTGGGAAAACTCTCCGCATCAGCACCAAGCTGCAGCAGAGAATTTAATCAGAAATAAACGATGTGAGTAGAGATAAAAGTTATTGGCCGCAACAGTACAGCAGAGTTAAACAAAAGCTATCCTACCAATGTATATATATGCATACATACATATAGTATGTATCCTAAATGCTATACTGTATGAGAAAAAATAATACCAATAGCAATAACAACAATAATGCTCGGTGGGGGCGTTAGACTAAACTTGCAGATTACGTGTCTGTCACATTTGTCAGTGGAAAGAGAGGCTGAAAAGTTTCCATGGCAACAGTCAAAGTGCAACCGTGAACTCAGATATTTGACCTTTCCAAAAATTAAACTTCATAACAATGACACAACAACTAATGCAGAGGGGAACTAATGCAGAATCTCCATTCACTTCATAATGCAAACGCTTACTATTATGTGTTATCATGTAATGTTTGCACCAAACAAAAACCTACAGCCGCTCCGCCCAAACATGCTAAATCCATTTTTAGTCACTGAAAAAATTATGACCGTGTTACAGTTTTTAAAATTGTGTTGAATAAGTACGAAGGGGTTAATATCAGCTCCACCTTTATCTGCGGCCACATCAAAGTGATGCTTACACATCACTACTCCCAGCCGACCGATGTAGTTTCACTTCAGTAAAATCGCAGAGTACTGAAAGCACCGCTGCTGGGTGCTCCCTCCACCAGGGGATGTCAAGTTAAAGAAAGAAATCCTGGTGTTTGATTTTGGAACCGTTTTAACAAACCAACCACCCGAAGCAGCAGGATCCACAAACAGAGCAAACGCCGAGGACCAACCTGGAACCAGCGGTCCGGATCTTCGTGGGAGTTCAGTTCTTTCCAGCGCAGCAAGTCCAGCAGACTCTGTGTGGGCTCTCGGCTCTCTGGCTGAACTCTCTCCGGGCCCTCGACTCGTTCCGGTGCTGCAGGTTCCTGCGGGGGTTGACTTTGGTTCTGCGTCTCTGCTGCGCCGTCGGGTTCTCTGCTCTGTACAACTGTCCTCTCGAGATCGTCTCTGACCATCCTAGAAAGGAAAGTCCTCCCCTTGTCCAACTGCTGCACCACTTCCACCGCTTTTCACGGGCAGATCCTCCATCGTTGACCCCTTTCTGGCCGGTCATCTGCTGCTCAGTCCTCCCTCGGACTTCATGTCGTTTTAAGCGAGAACGGAATCAGAGTTCACCAACGTCCTCACAAACATCTGGACGGGAGCAGAGGACGGATCTGTTCAGCCATCGATGGATTGTCACTAAGGAATGTGATGAGCTGAAATACAAAAAAAAAAGGTGAAGAATCAGTGAAAAAATGTTTTTTCCACTGAACTGCATTTTACCATTTCTGGCCACAAGGGGGCGGCAGAAACTAGTTGTGAACACAAGCTTGTGCAACAGCTGCATTTACATATTGTGCAGTTAGGGAGCATCACTATCAGTATCATCAGTTGTTTGGTCTATAAAATGTCACAAAATTATCACTTCCTGAATCACAAGGTGACTTCCTCAAATGTCTTATTTTGTCCAAAACTAAAACCAAAGAAACCTGGATATACTCACACTCAAAAATCTGTTGATTAAGAACTTCTGTTCTCAGAGTTTTGAAGTCGAGAAACATATCTAAGATGTAATTGTGATGTAATTGTGTGACTATCACAATGTTGTGATAGATTTCATACTAACGTTTAGTTTATGTCTGGTTTGGTGCTGAGACGGTGCTTGTTTTTAAAGTTGTGGACCGGACAGCTTAACAATGACTTTACTAAGCCGAAGGGAGCTGCAGATAAAGTCGATTACTCTCTAGAAGGTTCATCAAAATGAGCGACCTCTGTCACATCGTTCCACTTTGTTTAATGCAATCCAGCCCGGGTGTGTACATTAATCAGGTCATGTGACTGACAGTAAATCACAAGTTTTTGTGGTGATTACTGGGAACGGCGGCGGTATCATAGCTCATCATAACAAAACACTTTCACTTTTGCTGTAAAGCAAGAAAAGAAACGGCTGTCGCTCTATGAACACGGTTTTCATCAAAGGTAACCAAAGTTAACTTACAAAGCTTATTTCAGTGTAAAGTGACAAAATGCCTCCAATTGAAAGACACATAAATTAAAAAAAGTACAAAATTTAACGACAATGAAAATTAAATACACACACACACACACACACATTGTTTGAGAAGATGGCCTGGTTCCAACACATTTCTGGTGCTTTCTTCCTCGACATTATTCCATGTTTCTCATGATACCTAACATGCTTTCACTTCACACCTTTGCTCGAACGATGAAAAAAAGCATGTAAATATCCCGCCGAGTTGTAATCCTGCGGCTTCACAAAACATTTCAACATCTGCTAAAAGTTTTCTCTCTTTCAACTTGATTGATGGTCTGTTTGTGAGGAGGAAGTCTGCGTTGAACTGAATGAGTTTGCAGCAAATCTTGTAACTAACATGTTCAAGTTTCTGCTCGACACACAAACAGTATTAATATTAAGTGTCAGTATTAAAGCAGCGCACTTTTTAGTACTTTTCTCCTCCACAATGATGGTGTGGACATTGAAGGCTCACGTTTGGGACAAACAGTGTACTTACAGCACAGTGCATGAACAAAGTGGACGTTTAGAACCCAGAAAGTCAAACCTGCACATTGACTTTAAAGGGTGTGTGTTTCACATGGCACCACATTCAGTTTAGAAACCCACAATGCGTCGGAATGTGTCACCAATGCAAGACTTCAGAACAAAACGTTGGCAAACACAAGTCCAGTATTATTTAAAAAAATAATATTAAAAAAAAAATGTCTTCAACCTTTTGTCTACAACCCTGCAAGAGACAACATGTGAAACAGCTACGCACAAGAGGAGCGCCCACGGGCGCCTAGTTCAGTTCAGATGGCTGAAGGAGGGACATTTGTCCCTCGGGTTGGATAGGAATATGAATGAGGTGTCTCACCTGAAGCCGCCGCGGAGAGACTGCCGGTCCGCGCAGCGCGTCTTCTGCCGAACTACCGTCCTTCTGTCTGCGGGGCGGAGGGTGCTGCTGGGGGTGGTGGTGGTGGTGTGCTGGTGGGGGGGGCTGAGGCGGGTTCTCCGTCTCCGGGACACCGTGTGCGTTTGTCAATCGGTCTCCAGCGGGGGGATTGATTGACGGCTGTGCACGCACGCACACGAGCGCGTACTCACACAGCACGCACACATTGACTCGGGTGCCGCCACTTTTGCTTTCATTTTGGACCTGTGGATTCTCTTAAATCACGTGATATGCCGGCAGCGCGCGCACATTTCGAGTGCGCACACTTGTGTGCGTGTCCATGCAAAACGCCCTGTAAGGGCTTTTCATTGGATTAATACAAAACGTCGTTGTGTGTCTAGAACAATACAAACTGCTCCTTTTCGTAATTTAAAATGCCTTAAAAACTAAAAAAAATACATTCAATGAGCAAGTTTAAAGGATTTTTATCCCTAAGGCTTTTCTTGCAGTGGTGCTCAGACATTTAGAATGTTCTAAATGTAAAAACAGCTTTTACACTCGTAGATGGTCTCAGCAGGGAGAGCGTAGATACGTCCTTGGTTCATTCGTGGACACATTGCAAATATGGACAGTAAAATCGTACATGGAAATAGATTAAACTCAGAAGTTTGGGTATTATGAGAGGAAGATGGGCACCCTGTGGGGAAGCAATCCAACTGCACACGCACATTAGTACGCAAAGACACTCGGATGCGACGGTAACCAGATATGATCAGTCAGCTTCTAGTTATAGAGCATTTATTAAGAAAGCAGACTGAAACTCTTAAAACGTCACACGTTCCTTCCGTTTCTTCACATCTTTGTTTAGCATTGTGGCGTATAAACACCACTGGAGGAGGCCGGCGTTTCAGACGGCGGGGACGGACGCCTGGTTTTCCTTTTTGTTTCGTCGGTGCATCCAGTAAGCAGCTGCTCCCACAGCAAAGATCCCATAAGTGGCCAGGACACACTGAAAGGAGAGCGGAGACAGACGCATAGCTCTCAATGACCCGGCGGCCTTAAATGAAGGTTCACGACGAATGCAGCTCGTGTGCACATGCGTGTGTACGTATTTGCGTTACATTTCTGCGACCCTGGAGAGTGTAGCTATTGAAGTATTTCCTCAAACCAGTCAGTTCCACAGAAGCCGGGGCCTCGATGCCAAACAACTGCCTCTGAAGACCACAAAAAAAAAACACAGTAAGAAGAAGCAATGCAAACATGATACATGAAGCTTATAGCAGAAGGGATGTTTGAGGAGATGTAGTTTCACTGCAAGGAAACCCAATGTGCATGCATTAAAGTAACCAATTATCAAAATGAAAGCAAAAACTGTTGTCCTCCAACCCCCGAGTGGCTCCCTCCCACTGCTCCATCATTAGCGTGTAAACAGACGTGTGGTTGTGCATCATAAAAAGACAACAAACTCACTGCCCATACAGGATGGCCTGCATGGTCAAAATGAATGTGAAAGGGATTATTGAGGCTTGTTATGACAGGTGAGGACCTGGTCTTCAGTAACCCGGATTATAAAACTACAGGACGAACAATGCGACAGTTGCAAAAAAAACACAAAAAAAACTTTTCGTGTTCACTTTTTTTTTTAGGTGGCGTGACGAGGCAGAGTCGAGGTGACCGATCACATTCAACACACGATTAGAATGGAAGGAAACAGAATTATTCATCAGCCGGAGCTCCAGCTAATCATCTGGGCTTGCCGGCAGCACACGGCCGATTCCCTGCAGACTCCGCACAGCCTTTACTCTTTTTAACTGTGTGATTAAAGCCTAATGCTGCAATTCCCTCTGGATGATGAGTTTGGAGGTTTTTTTTAATGCGTATGCTGAGATTTATTATAGGAATACATGAAACAGAGGCTTCGCTCTCTTCACAGGAAAACTTACTTTTTATGACAAAAACATTTATCTAAATCACGTCAAAAAAAGAAGTATGAATATGTTTAAAGCTTTTTTCAAACCTTTCTTTGGACATTTTGAGAAATGTAATTGTGCATTACCGGAGTATAAATGATAAACTTTTACTACAAATAGAAAGCTCATATTTTGCTTTTACCAATACAATTAAACATATAAATTGGGACATATTGTTTATATTGTCATAAAACTTACCCTACCACCTACCCACATACAGCACATTTAGTTTTATGGTTACATTTTTTGCTTTTTACTTGAGCAAAAATGGAATGACTGAACAGTTATTTATTTATATTTTTCTAACGTTTCTTTATAAACAAGGCCTATGTTAATGAAACTTCGCAAACGTTTCCCTCTGGGATTCATACATGTAGTACTTTACGTAAATACCATATCGACTTCCACCACTGGCTTGTAAAATAAACAGAAAACCGCTCTTTGGCCTCTGGAGGAAGTAGTGAGCTGACATAAATAAGACACACAATTACATTACATGTCATTTAGCTGACGCTTTTATCCTAAGCGACTTACAATAAGTGCATTCAACCTTACAAACACTGAATATACGACTTATATTGCTCAGGTGGACACAAAAACAACTAAAATAACTATTTTGCTCTATTATAAATCCCACAAAGCTTTACACGTCAATGTGTCAACTGAGGTGGTCAAAATGATCAGTAAATAAACAGTTATTTTGTTATTTGTATTCATAAGTTATCAAGAAAACAGCCTAAAGGAAAACCAATATCCATATTTATTGTTCTGACCTAAGGCTCTAATGTTGTCTAATGCATCATTTGCAACATTTAGTTGCAGTTTTAGGCTTGTATGTTTTTTTTAATATGCCTTAAACCAGTGATTCTCAACTGGTGGGTCGCGACCCACTAGGGCCTTTGCCTGGGAAAATAAAAATTTGAATTAACAGCTGGCTGTTTTGTTTTTTCATTAAACTTGTTTTTGTGTTGGCATACGTATTCTGTCTCCATACTATCTCAGGTTCAAACTGCACCATATTTTCATTAAATAAATTTGAGAAGTTGAGAATGTTCCTCGATTTGTCATTAAGGGGTGATGGTGGGTCCCGGAGCCGGACCAGTTGAGAACCACTGGATTAAACTATGACAGATGCCTGAATTTACCATTGAACAAATCTATCCATAACACATGTCATGTCTTTTTAAATACTCGTCATTTGCATTCCTATTTCTTCCCAGGCTATCCTATTTTACACATGTTATTCACCTACACGTTTCCTACCATAAGATACATTCTTGTAATGCTGTTAATCATGAGCTCAATGGCCGTTGTATCTCTTATCCTATCATCTTATCTTATTTTCACAAAGTTTATATCTATCTATCTTATTTTAAATGCAATACACATGGCACTCCATGCAATATAAAAGCTTCTCCACCTCATGAGTAAAGTTCGAATAGGAAAATAAAAGTTAAGAGGAGAGAGAAAGTGATATGTTAAAATGGACTTTGTTAGATGCAAAAAATCCCTTGCTTGCTTAATACTGTTAATTATTATAGTAATCTGTCTATCAAAACAGGTGCACTGTCATTGCATCAATCCACTAATCCTTATTTAATTCACCTCCAACACTGCAGACTGTGCATGCACGAGTCATCCCCTGTTCTTACCTTCACCTCTGTTATGAGATGACCGAAACTGGTGAGGGGGATCTGCGTTTTAACGGGGGACGTCGGCATGACTGGAGACAGTTTGGATGCAAATGTTACGTTAATCGTGCCCACAATTTAAATAATCATTTATAGGGTAAAGACTGGTACTTACTGTTGTATTGTATGGAGGTAGGACGCTTACACAATGTTTTCGTCGGACTATTTTACTTCCGGGGTGTGTGGCTAAGCATTCTGTCCAATCAGGTGCTTCTATTCAAAGCACGGACCAATGGGAGGCCGGCGGTTGGGCGGGGCTTAGCCGATGGTTACGCAAACGGGAGTTTTAAAATGCTGCCTGTTATTCTTCTATTTAACCACAAGACGGCGACAGATTCAAGTTCATAACTAGGTGTGAACCCCTGAACACAGGTGGACTCAAATACAAGTGAACTGCTCTTTACATGTCAACAGTTTGTGATATTGATATATTTTATTCATCTGTTTCACAGTCAGTGGAATGACATCCTGTGCTTTAGAACACTGAAAACAATTTAGTTTTGTGTTTTATAGTCGGAAAATTTTTAAATGCGTTGTTTTTAAATTACTGTTGCTACAGAGGAAGTAACAATCACTAATACCCTTCCAGTCAAATGTTGAGGTACCTGTTTCTGCTTTACTCATTTTAAGAGGGAAATATATTGCATGTTTTAATCCACTACATAAATGTCACACCTGCAATTACTACTAACGTTAACTATGCACAAATAAGTTTGAATTACAAAGACTTTCTTGTAATGAAGTAGAACTATTAAGAACGACATAGTGGAAATACTAAAGTAAAGTACAAGTACCTCAAATTGTCCCATATAGAGTTAACTTCTTGATTAAATGTCCTTTTACTTACTGTAGGCTCTTTTGAAATGTGGAAATGGCAAAAATACTAAGGTACATTTAGATTAGTTGGCTTATAGTTATACTAAAATGAAAAACTACCGTTGTTTTTCTTCCTCTGATACTTGTATTGTGGTATTGCTACTTTCACTTCCATCACTGATCAACAGAACAGCAGGGAGATCTAAAAATAGAGGAGCGCTTTTACTTCTAAAATAAGAATTCTGACTAGATAGTTGAAAGTGCATTTTGTTGATCTCAAAACGTCAAAACGTAAGTCGTAAATCATTTGAGAAAACAATTTATTAATATATACTGGATTGAAAACGGGATAAATTTGTATGAGGCAAACATTTCTGTTCCCTGTACACTACCAAATATATACAGTATATACATTTTCTTTTTGCAAGTTGAGGTTAATCTTTTGATCTTCTATAATTTGTGTTTTGAAAAGAGTAATATTTACTTGGGGAGGTGAAAGGGTTAGGGTAGAGAACCACACCTCCTCAACCCTCATCCTGAACACCGGCGTGCCACAGGGCTGTGTGCTAAGTCCTCTCCTCTACTCCCTCTTCACCTACGACTGCACACCTGAACACGGTTCTAATACCGTTGTCAAGTTTGCAGACGACACAACGGTGATTGGCCTCATCAGTGACAACGATGAGTCGGCCTACAGAGAGGAGGTCCAGCACCTGGCGGCGTGGTGCGCCGACAACAACCTCCCCCTCAACACCAAGAAGACCAAAGAGCTAATTGTGGACTTCCGGCGGAAAACTGGCACACACATCCCCATCCATATCAACGGGACGGAGGTTGAGCGTGTCGCCAGCCTCAAGTTCCTGGGTGTCCACATCTCTGAGGACCTCTCTTGGACCCTCAACACCTCATCCCTGGTCAAGAAAGCACACCAGCGTCTCTCCTTCCTGAGGAGACTGAAGAAAGAAAATGTGGAAAATGTGGAAGTTCACAACAACAACAACCCCGACAGATCCGCTCCGAGTTTCCCCCCAACACCACCCGTGAACTCCACCTGCCCCCCGACCTCTGTGGCCTATTTATTGATCAACCGATGGCTGCTGTTTAGGTTTTTTATTCAGTGCTTCTAATGAGCAAAGAGCTTTTAAGACCCCCGGAATCGTTTCATCTTCTCCAATAAGTCTTTCCTCTCAACAGCCTGAATATTCCGCATGGGAACCTTTTTTAATCATATACTGGTAAGAATATTACTTTCCTCCACACACACACACACACACACACACACACACACACACACACACACACACACACACACACACACACACACTGTGTAAATGGGGCAGATGATTTGTGCAAGAAAGGAAATGCAAAAGGTTGAGCTGTTCTGTAAGTTCTGTAAGAGGAGTGTGTCTTTTACTTTGGCTTGAATGATCAGAAATAAGTTGAGGACACACATTAGAGGACAAAAACCAGAGAACTCCCTCAGAGCAAAAAATGGCATTCTACAGTTTATTTTAAGTTGATGTGAGGCTTCAATAACAAACCCATACACCTCAGATTTAATATTATATCTTCTATGTGAAGTGGGAACTGAGGGTTCTGTGCAGGAAATCTAAGAAAAGAGAAAAGAGCTTCATTCCGAACATTTGAAATGAATCAAACTGATTAACAAACGTAACCAAAAACATAAAGAAACCAATTATTAACAAAAAGGATTAGGTTAGGTTAGTGATTCACCTTTGTACTTGTTTCAGTCCAGTATGAAATCTGTGGTGTAACTCGTGTTGACATGGACCGAGAGAGAGAGAGAGAGAGAGAGAGAGAGAGAGAGAGAGAGAGAGAGACATAGAAACAGAGAAACAGAGAGAGAGAGAGAGAGAGAGACATAGAAACAGAGAAACAGAGAGAGAGAGAGAGAGTTTTGGGCTGAGGACTGATCGCTGAGAACAGGGAAGCAGACACGGGGACCTACCGGAAGAAGCAGCGCGAGCAAAACACCGGCTGCGCGAGCGAAACGGAGGCGGTCCGCGGGGAGGAGGAGCAGGAGGAGCAGGTGGAGCAGCAGGAGGAGGAGGAGGAGCAGGAGGACCGGTCCCGTCGCTCCTCGGTAAGATGGCTGATTCCGGCAGCGACGGAGAGGCGCCGGAGAGCGCGCGCGGCTTCGCGCGGCAGGGAGCCCTCCGACAGAAGAACGTGCACGAGATCAAGAACCACAAGTTCATCGCGCGCTTCTTCAAGCAGCCCACCTTCTGCAGCCACTGCACGGACTTCATCTGGTGGGTGTGGGTGTGTGTGTGTCTGTGTGTGCGCGCGCGTATGGTGCGTGTGAGCGTGCGTGCGTGCGTGCGCGGGGGGGAAAGGACACAGGTGATTTACTTGCTGCGGCTCCTTCCGCCCCGCAGTGTTTCATTCATTGTTAAAAAAACACTGCGATGCGCCATTCCCCCCCCCCGTCCTCCACAATGCGACAGAACCGCGGGCCGACGGAGGGGTTGTGTGTGTGTGTGTGTGTGTGTGTGCGTGCGTGTCAATATGTGTGTGTGTGGAGAGGGGGGCGTGCGTTGTCGTAAGCCGCAGAGCGGGCGATTACCGCATCGACCCGACACTCCGAAACTGGAGGTCTGGGTTGAGGAATGCAGCTGGAGACACAGAGGGCCCCTGTGTGTGTGTGTGTGTGTGTGTGTGTGATGCATATCTGTGCGTGCATGCATGCAATCCTCATTGTCAGTGCATCTCTATTGAATCCTCCACCGACCCCCCCCTCACCAAAAATTTCACATCCCTGTCTTCTGTCCACAGGGGCTTTGGGAAGCAGGGATTCCAGTGCCAAGGTAAGAGCAGCGAGGCTCATTCACAAATCCCTCCGCTGCAGATGGCTGTGAGTGAGTGGACAGATGTTCACTGTCTGAAGAGTGCTGCTGTGTGTGTGTGTGTGTGTGTTGTGTGTGTGTGTGTGTTTGTTGTGCTCAGGGTCTGCAGGTCCGCTCGCTGTTAAAGAGTGACCTGTCGGCCTCCTCGCTGCCGCCGTGTCGGCGTGGGCGGCCAGGTGTCACACTTGCTTGCCAACAGAGATAAATGGAGAGACGGCGTGTGCGAAACGTAAGCGTAGAAGAGTGTTGAAAAGCCAAGACGTCTTGGTTTGGCCGCACAAGAATGTTTGACCCCCACCACCACCACAAACCCGTTTCCCCCCCCCCCCCCCCTGACATCGAGCCCGGCGTCTGATTGGAATTGTAAAATGGTGGGTTTGTGTGTGGGCGGGCGGCAATGTGTGTCCGTGGGTGGGCTGCTGGTCGCGGTGACGGGTGGGTGTCTAGACACGGACCTCTGCACAAAATGGTTCCATAAACCGGCTGCAATGATGTGACAACCCTCCGTCACATGCACGCTGCAGCTAATCAGCGGGTGTGCTCGCGGTATCGCTTCCTCTTCAACCCCCCCCCACCTCTGGGTCCATCTCAGGAAACCCTCTCCACAAGGCCACTGGCCGCATTCACGTGACTATTAAAAAAAACCCGACCATCTGTTTTCAACACCGCGCTCTTACGTAAGACTTCGTTGACTGGAAAGGGTCGGGCAAAGAAAGTTGCGTAATTGTATTTTATCTGCAGCTGAAAAAGAGAGAAGGAAAGTCCCCTGATCTCCTCGAGCAGCAGGGGGGGGCTCGCTGCAGCTCTGGTGGTTCTACAGGAAATGCATCAGGGGGAGAGAAAGAAGGAACACGTTTGTGTGCTCGAGTGAGTGCGCGCGGCCTCCTGCACCAGTGAGCTCCCGTGGTGAATTAACCTGAGCTGATAACACACTTTTAGAGAGCACGGACCAATCGGGGCCTTCCACAGGTAGAGCAGCGGGGGGGAGGGGGGATTGGGGGAGATTGGAGGGGGGTTGCGGGTGACTCTGCACCCGTTGAGTGATAACCCTTCGGTGTACGATAAGTCGTACGGCAAAAAAGCTCCCTGGTATTTCTACATGATAAAAGTGAAGGGCGCACGCAGCCGGACGTCTCCACGGGAATGAGACATAGCGGGAGAATATGACTGAGAGTCCAGTCTGCTTTCCTCTTGCGTGTGCAGTTAGTGTGCACATTTATTTCACGTGCAAGCTCAGACTTTTAGTCAATAATTGTTGATTGGAATGAAACCAATTGGCAGATTCTTTTGATGATTGTCAATATCATTCTGGGCAATATTCCCAAAATGTGTCATATAATGAATTTAGCATGTTCGCATAGCGTTGCAGAAAAGAAGGTATGTGATAAAGTCACCATCACCTGTTGTGTTGGTCATTTTCCACAGTTTTCTAATGTTTAAAAACCAAAACAATTCAGCAATTTCAATAAATCCCATTTGTCAATTATGACAATGCCTTGCAATTTGATTTATTATTCCAATCAATTCGGTTGAAAGGAGAGTTTGTATAGAGATCTCATTGCGTTGCTATGACCCTTTTTGACCCGTAGATCAATACTGACTGGCCTTAAGCGAGTGTGAAGAGCTGCTTTACAGTAATGTTCAGTCACATTATTTTCTTGTCCTGAATTTGTATCCAAAGAGGAGAGTTGGAGCTGAAACGCATCAAAGGGTTCTTGATGATGTTTTAAATTAGTGATCAATGGTCCCATTGAAGCTTCACTATGAACCGGCAGAAAACGATGACTTTTGATTTTATTGCGTTTTCTCCTTCATTTACCTTTTATGATAAGAGTCTGTTGGACTTGGTGGTTAAAACGATGTCAACTAATCATCCATACGCAGCCGTTTCGAAGTTGAACAATATAATGGTGAGATTCACTTGAATGTGTTGCGACAGAAGCTTTGGCAACTTTCAGGTCACGACATGAAAAGGCACAGTAGATTTGATGACTATGTTTCGACTCGCCGACCCACTTTACAGTGAAATACAGTCATCTAACACCACGAATCAACAACGAGTCCCTCCGTCTTCCTTTCCATTTGTGAAAGCCCAACCTTTATTCAGTGTGATTTTCTCTTAAGAGGGAAGACAGCTGCAGGAGTGAGGATCCACTCCAGTCCTCACTGGAGTGGATCCTCAAACAACACACTTCCTGGTCATGAGGAATGTCAGGAACGTGCTGCCGACCGGTTCTGACAGGTTGCAGACACTAGTTTGAACTTATCTTAGTGGGACGTTAGAGGGACGGGTGGAGGGAGGCGGGTGGGGTTCTGGGTGTGTGTTTTTTTTCTTTTTTTTTTTCTTTCCTGGGAACACACCTGTGTGCAAAAAGGGGAAGTCGCCCCTCAGGTGATCGTGCTGCTTCACCTAATCGTATCAGTTGGGATTATTAGGTTTCTACAAAGGCCTTTTTTTATCGCAGGTATTTCATCTTTTCACTGCATGTCACTGATAATATTGATGATCTAAAGGCTGTATTACTTTTTAAGTGTCGTAAGAAGACACGGTGCCCAGAGTGCCAAATGCCGGGACCCCAACACTTTAAATGAAAATCAGACATCCATCCTTTTTATTATCGACCCTGTGATCTCCCTGCTGTGACAGATCAAAATGTATCAGTTTTATCTTTGCAACAGGACAGAAATCCCTCAATCCTCCAATATCTTTGAAAGACAGAAGCTCAGAACATGAGAACAAAACTCCGGCTGCTTCATACGCTAAAAACAACAAAGACTGCAGTGACCTAAATGCTGACATGCGTAAGTAGGTATGTTTCCACGGTAACCATCATTTGCAAAAGTACTGCACGAATGGAAGTTCTGATTCGCTGATGATTCTAGAAAGAGGATCACCAAAGTCTGTATGATTCATCCTCTGGAGACCACGAATGTCCGTACATCGATCCAGTACTTTCGATGACAAAAGTGATCTAAATCCATCTTGTGATCCCGATTGTTTGCTGATTGGTGATTGAAGTATTGATCCGACCAGAGTCCAGCCGGCGTAAAGCTATTGATTACAAGATACGTCTGTGACACCGTGGAGGGGGAAGCAAGCGCATATTTCGGAGCTCGCCTGTCCACAACACCGCGCCTGCTTGTCAGCGAACTCCTTCACGATGAATTTTAAAGTCGAGCGATCTTTCCAGCGCCGGCGCTGTGAGGCTGTCAGATGTCAGGATGGCATACGGACGCTGATACGACTGGAGACCTACACAGAGCGCTTTGATGCGTCATCAAACAACGATCCGCTGTAAATAAAGCAGATTTATTTCATTTTTCTCCTTAATTTGTCTCTCCTATAGTTAAAACCACCAATGTATTTAATTTAATTTACAAAGATACCGTAAAACACAGAAAGCCTGAACTGTCGTATTTCTCACCTGAAATAAGTGATCTGTTATCCAAACTGTCATTGCTCTCAATTACCTGATTAGTCAGTTGACTGAGGTTGAACACTGCATGTGATGAAGCATGCATTTCATAAGAACATCTGGGTCAAAGGTCAAGGATAGTATAACCTGATGTCTGAAATTCCATCAGCTCTGTCTCAAATGTGCACTTAAATTCAAGGATTTGCTTATTAGGTAATTACATCTCACTGACTTTACAACGTTTTTAGCTTAATTCTTTTGGAAAAAATGACAATTTCACATAGATGCTGAAGGATAAAATGGTGAAGGGAAAATATTTAGAACAGATGGTGGATGTAAACGGGACTGATTTGAAGAGGCACACAACAACGAGCCAATAATTTGTGCTTTTGCATTTCCTAACCTCTTTTATTTTGAAACTCTTAAATTCACCTCATCGATAAGACGAAAACACTTTTTTTTTTAAGCGCGCTGTTCAGTAGCAGAGTTTCATTCAGGCAAACCAAGGCCCTGAATGATGATTTCAAGTGTCTCCGCTCGAGGGCCTGTGGGCTCGTACTCAAGATGGAGGACCCTCCCGATGCTCACGCTGATGTGAAGCGCCGTCGTCCTGGCGGGCCGCGGCGGGAGTCTTTTTTTGGAGCGGCTCTGATTCGCCGTCGTCGCTGGCGGTCACATAAAACGGGGCTGCGTGTGTGTGTGTGTGTGTAGACTCGACTGTAAGGCTCAGCCTGGTTGCTAGGCAACAGCGCGTAGACCTCCGTCGGCAGGTCACTAGGCCTGTCTTTCAGTAGTGTGTGTGTGTGTGTGTGTGTGTGTGTGTGCACAGGTCCGTTTTGTGGGTTGAAGTGACGGAGCAGATTTATGAACAAAAGGCCGTCTGACCGAAATCCTTCGCTGTGTTTTCTGTCGCTCCACTTCTCTTTTTCTGCCTTCCTGGCACGCTGCGAACACACGCGTGTCCTCCACCCCCTCAAACCCAGCTGTGCCCCCCATCCCTTCCTGCCCACACACACACACACACACACACGCCTCTCTGATTGTCTTCATTTCTTCTTTCCTCTCGACGTTTTCTCCGCGTTCTCCCTGCGTCGCCCGGTATTGTCAGATGGAAACGAGGTTCAATGTCACCCTCACAGCTACTGTCGTAGTTAAAAATGCATCAAACCCAAACGGGCCGGAGGTCCTGGTGTCGTCGGCCGGTGTGACCCACACTCCGTCCTGCACAGACACACGGACGCACCGGCGAGCACGAGCGCTCCGTTGCTTGAACTGCTGGAAACCCGTGGAAAGTGTCGCCAGTTGCCACGCGGTGCCTCATGAAAACATAATGACAATGTGAATAATTAAGATCAAACCAGAGCTTAATGTCACCCTTTGGGGTGTGTGTGTGTGAGATTCGCTGTGGCTGAAGTTGCAACATGTGTGTTTATGTATCGTATTGTTTCATGATGAATGTTGAAGCATCTTCACTATTCTTTAAGTGGATCCCGCATGTCACAGTAAAGTGTTTTTATTTTAATCAGCACTCTGCAGGATGGGAAAGTAAAGCAGTGACATGAGGCCCAACAACTAAGTCAGAAGTTCGGCCCTATTTCTCTGAACGGACCTCTGCTGTTGGTCTCGCTTTAAAATTTAAAGGGGGTGTTTGTAGTTTATGTGCGTGCGACCTGCTGTTTGCCGTTTGGATGTTTACTGACTCGTGGGCTGATTTAAGAAAGTCCGATGGATCGGCAGCAGCTCCGTTCAAACAAACCCTCCGAGGGCTTGATACACATTAGTTACGCTCCGCAGCCACAATTGTTTTTCGTCAGCTATTGATCTGCAGTTTATAGTCTCAATTCATCCTTTTCTCTTTAAAATGTCAGAATGTATTGAAAAGCGCCCAAAGATATTCCTTTTTAAATAGCTTGTTTGGTCCAACTAACACTCCCAAACCCCAAAATATTCAATAAAAAAAACATAGAAAAAAGAGAGGAACAATATTTTTGATAAATGATTTAAGGAATTCTGAAAATTGTTGCAAAAATGATTTGACTTATACACAAACTAAAGTATCTCATATAGAGTTTGGAACCATCTCTGCTGTGGTCGTTTGTAAACGTAAACTGATATCATGTGATCTGCTGTAATTTAATCTTTGAGGCGTTTTTATCTTGACATTGTACCTGTAATTATGAGTAAAGGCTCCCAACAGTTTACACAACTCTCAGGGGTCAAGAAGTCGCTGATGAATCCTCGGCGACGCGGACGCGATGGATCAGACTCGCTCGTCTCTCCTACTCGACTCCTGCCAACATTCAGACACCTCGCTGCTGTTTGGATCTCTTTCGTCTGCAGTTTCTCCTCACGCAGGAGACATTTATTCAGGACACTCGAGAGCCACAGAACTCACCTGATAATCAAGGACGGCGCTCGAGTAAACGCACCAGGATACGACCCCCCCGCGGTGCTTCGCTCAGAGCGGCCTCCTTTTTTTTTTTTTGTCGGCGGGGAACACGTGGGGAACACCTGGTGCGCGCGGCCTTCTGCCTCCGCTTCCTGTCGGGGGGGGGGCGGCGGTTCGGAGAGAGACGTCCCACCGGGCAGCGGTTCATTTTTTCATAAAAAAAACGCCCAAACTGCAGAAAATAAACTAAACGTAGACGCAGACAGCACGGACGAAACAAATGGGGACTGCTGAAATATAAGTAGCCTATTGTGCAGCGAATAATGCCTCGTAATTGACGCATTGATTCGTCTCTCTGTTGCTGTTGTGTCGCCTTATTTGGCGTTGTAAGGAAGCTTTTGTTCGACATTTGCTCCCCTCCTCCCCCTCCCCTTCCTCCCCCCTTCTCCTTTTCTCTCCACCAGTGTGCTGTTTCGTGGTCCATAAGCGCTGTCATGAATTTGTCACCTTTTCCTGTCCGGGGGCCGACAAGGGACCCGACTCCGATGTAAGTAAGAGGGAGTCGGCGAGTTAGATGTTAAACACACGGTTAGTGATTGCTTTGCTGGTAAGTGATGTGGATTAATAACATTAGCAAGGTCAGCACTGGCTGTTGGTGTGTGTGTGTGTGCATCCATGTAGTTCCTGTATTTGCTGCTGGATGAACACACACACACACACACATGTACGGACCCCTTCGTCCTCGAGCTGAGCTGTCAGCCCCAAATCACACTGAGAAATGCCAGTAAAGAGGGAATGTGCTGCCTGGCTGCCTCAGGTTAATGGGCCAACATCACTCATTCACTCACGCACACGCATGACTGTGAGTCAGCACGGGTTCTGAAGTGGTAGAAACGATGTTTAATAATCTCTCACTCCTCTCTTCTTTCTTTGTTTTCGTTATAGCTGTTGTGTCGCTACCTGTTTTTCAAGCATCCTCAAAACTCACTCAATCAGGACTGCTTTGCTTCTCTGTCATGTTTCACAGTTCTCATAATGCAGGCGACATTTCAAGGGAACGGTTCACCACAGATGCACTAAATGCCCGATTGTCTACACGTTTTGTCCTTTTTGATGCAAAGTATTTCATCTCGGACAATTGGGACGTTTTTGTTCCAGCGTGGTAACACTTGTGTGCAGGAGTCGTTTTAAAGTGAGGTTGGCGAAAAGTCTTCGTAGTAGTAGAGTGGTTAAATTACCGTCGTCATGGTTACGGAGTCAGCTGCTCACACACTTGCTTTACAAGTGTTTCTCAGAAAATGCCAATAAAACCCAAACCATCACCTGAGTTAAGTGAGGGCAATCTGGGTGAACCGACTCTTTGAATGCCGCCTAACGGGGCTCCCGGGGATAACTGAATAGGTTAAAATCATTTAATGGCGTCTGAGCACAGCGCAGATCCAGAAACCCGACTGATGCGACCCGGATTACTTTAAATATTTAATCCGAGGGACTCTCTGTTCTCTCTCCACTCTGCAGGATCCTCGTAGTAAACACAAATTTAAGGTCCACACTTACTCCAGCCCGACCTTCTGCGACCACTGCGGCTCCCTCCTCTACGGGCTGATTCACCAGGGCATGAAATGTGACCGTACGTACACCAACAGTCTTTTGTTTCTTCGCTTTTGTGTTTGGTCTAAAGAACTTCCGGTTTAAATACGTATGGGAATAAAATGAAATATGTTCATTTGGCCAGAAATGTGAAAATAGATATATAAGTGAGACAATATAGTTATAGAGCCAGCTCTATTTATTTCAGGGCACTTTAACTTCCTGAGGCCACAATTGTTTCGCAGCTGTTTTCTTTCTCCATCTGTTAGCTTCGTATGAGTGAGGCGAGGTCATCTCACAGATTTCACACGGAATCAGCACAAGAAGGAGGTGCCTATTAGTCAGCACAGGGACTACGAAGTGCACTAATTAATTTACCACCTTTTATTACTGCAGGATTTCATTTTACTGTCATATTTATTCATTTTTTTAAGTGTATTTATTTATGAAGTCAATGTTTATTTCAGTAAGTGATGCAGCATATTGAGCACATTTCAAACAACATGACATTGAGCTCACTCGTGTATATCGACTTTCCACTTTTACAGATTGAGAACACTCGATCCGCACATGAAGGGTTCTGGGTTCATCTTCGACCTTTTCTCTGTGGGTTTTGCGTGTACTAAAGTGCAGAGACGGAGACTAAATCCCAGCTGGGTTCGGTTCCATCTCTTCATTCTGCAGCATCGGGGCCGTGTTGGTGGAAATTAAAAAGTGCTGCTTGAAACGTTACATTTCTGTCGTTCCAATTAATATTGTTTCTACTTTCACTGATTGCTTTATGTGGCTTGTGGATGAAAGTTTAAAAACACAATATCTAAATTTACATCGTTTACTATATTTGACCTGTTATGAGTCACAATGACTCAATACTAAACACATTACATCATCGGCTTAATGACTATTATCCGATTATCACTTTAGTGAGTGAAACGTTGTTTTACGTTCTTGCTGTGGTGTTTAAATTTATTTCTATGCTTTGTTGTTGGCAACAAAGACACAAACAGGAAGTAGGCTACATCTCTGCAATGCAGTCTGCAACCATCAGCAATAGTATATATTAAGTTCAGACAGTTCCTCGTTGTTTCTCTGAGCGTTGCACAGCGTTTGATGGACTTTGAAGCCGTTTTTATACATTCAAATTGGGTCAAGAGATCAGCGTGAAAAGGGAGTACGTTGATGTTAAAGTGCTGGTGCTGAGAAGACGGTGGCCGCTAGTGCGGCACAATTCAAAGAGAGGTTATACATTAATCCACGGCAATACACATTTGACTAGGAGCTCTGTGTTTCCTGCTAATGGTATTTATCTTAACAAATTTGATTTTAAATTAGTCGATGATTATCCTTCAGTAATCTTTGGGTCTTTGTTGAACATTTCGGTGCATAAGTCGCTGATGATAACAGTTTGGTTGTTATCTCGAGTCAAGCTGCTGAGGAAAGTTGTCCTCCTTCCTCTGTGAAGTATCGATATTTCACAGGTCTCTGAGGTGTAGGAGTCTCCTCACGTGTCCCTCAAAACTGAAGTCTGTTGGTCTGACTCAGAACAAAACCCTCCCAAATTTCTGCCTGCTCGCTTTGAACTCAGAGGAGCTAAAAAAGTGTCTCAGAGCTTTTAATGAACAGGGAAGGGATTTGTGTACTTTGATTCGGAATTATTATTATTTTTTTACATTCTTACATTACAGGTCATTAAGCAGACGCTTTTATCCAAAGCGACTTACATTACACTTTAAACCCATGGCTTTTTCACATTTTTGCCTGGGGAGAAATTAGGGGTTAGGTGTCTTGCTCAGGGACACTTCGACATGGAACATGGGGCAGCCTGGACTCGAACCACCAACCGTGTGCTTCCCAGCACACCTTCTCTAACCCCTGCGCCCCGACAACCCCCAATGGACGTTGTAGCTGATTGGAGTCAATAATGTGAAGGTTAAATCATTGCCTCGTGCAGATTAAAGAAGCAACTCATCTAGAAAAAAAAAAGATCATGTGATTGAAAACATGCAAAATATTCCGTTCTGCATCGCCTCCCGTGAGTGGAGTAAAATGTGGAGCTTTGCACATCGGAGTAGGCTGACATCTAGTGGACAGTGTGGGGAATTACAGAGGTGTTAAAAACCAGTGCTCACTATTAAGAGGCAAACTATCATCTGTTTGTTTATCTCTGCCTGTGTAGCTTTATTCAAAACTATCGCATATGTTACCTTTGACCAATTCTCTCTCTCGTCCATATGACGCTATATTGTCTCACTAATTATTTAAATATACTTCACACTTAAAATGACATTGAAACACGAATTAAGAAGGTTTGTGATACTGATTTTGAATGTGTAAGGAGGCTTTTGGGCCAAACGGAAATAACTAACCTCTGTGTTCAGACTGTATGATGAACATCCACAAGCGATGTGTGGCCAACGTCCCGAGCCTGTGTGGGACGGATCACACCGAGAGGAGAGGACGCCTGCAGATCTCCGCCCAGATCGCGGACAACATTCTCACCGTCACCAGTGAGTGCACTCGTCTCTTCATCCTCCCACAAACGCACTAACCGAGGGCCTCTCAAAGCTCTGGAAAGTCCATTAGTTGGTCAATGACCCAACGATTGGCCCATATCGCCGCTGGAACATGCGCCCACGTGGCGGCCCGCATCCCTCAGACGGCCGTGGATTGATTATGGAAGAGAAACTAAACTGTTGTTGAGTGTTGCAAATGTAGCTGGAGTTTTCTAGAGCAGGACGACGGGTTCACGCCCCGCTGTCCTCTGGAGAGGGCAAAATCTAGATTAAACTGTTTTTTAGTGTGTCTGTAGTTTTCTTTGTAACCATGTCCTCCTCCAACACCTCGCAGTCAAAGAGGCCAGGAACCTGGTTCCCATGGACCCCAACGGCCTGTCAGACCCCTACGTCAAGCTCAAGCTGATCCCAGATCCCAAAAGTGAGAGCAAGCAGAAGACCAAGACCATCAAATGTTGCCTCAACCCCACCTGGAATGAGACCTTCACTTTGTGAGTCTTGGTTTTGGGGCTTTTTTGGCGATGTTACAATACGCACTTTGGTTTTAGTCACTGGAGCTCAACTCTCTCTGAAATTGTGATCTCTGGTTTTAATTTGACATATTCTAAGAAACACTTGAAGCTTAAACCTCTGCCATTTCCTTAGCAAACTAAAAGAAAGCGACAAGGACCGCCGCCTCTCGGTGGAGATCTGGGACTGGGACTTGACTAGCAGGAACGACTTCATGGGAGCGCTGTCCTTTGGGATCTCAGAGCTCCAGAAACAAGGAGTGGACGGATGGTAAGAGTTCAGGATACGGTGAATAATTGGGAAAATGACACCCTAATGGCGGCGGCAGCGGTGACATGGGCGTGGCGGTTTGAGGGCCGTGTTGTCTTCGTGTAGTGATAATGCTGGGCTTGTTTTGTTTAGGTTCAAGATGCTTTCTCAGGAGGAAGGGGAGTACTTCAATGTCCCTGTCCAGCCGGATGGAGAAGACGGCAACGAGGAGCTACGACAAAAGTTTGAGGTGAAATGGCCACCGGTTTAATTTGCGACGTCCTGGCTTGTTTTTAAAATGAGACTCTTAATCTTCTTCCCTCCCACATTGTCGTCTGTCCCCAGAGGGCGAGGGTGGGGCCGGGGAAGCCCGCCGACTCCTCTTCCTCCTCCTCGGTGTGCAAGTACGACAGCAACGGCAATCAGGACCGGGTCAAGCTCTCCGACTTCAACTTCATCATGGTCTTGGGCAAGGGCAGCTTTGGCAAGGTGATGCACGTCAGAAGTGGCAGCCGGCGGCTGGAACAACAACAACAACAACAACGACAACAACCACGGCGACGACGTCAAATCCCCCCCGCCAAGCTGATTTTGTTGACCGCCTCCAGGTGATGCTGGCTGAGAGGAAGGGCACCGATGAGCTGTACGCCGTCAAGATCCTTAAGAAGGACGTGGTGATCCAGGACGACGACGTGGAGTGCACCATGGTGGAGAAGAGGGTCCTCGCCCTGGCCGGCAAACCGCCTTTCCTCACTCAGCTGCACTCGTGTTTCCAAACCATGGTACACGGACGAGAGGAGCACACGCAGGGAACGCGGCAGAACACCCGTGACGTGGCTCACCGCGTGCCTCAACCGCTCTCCTCCTCTGCTTTGTCTTCCAGGACCGGTTGTATTTTGTTATGGAGTACATCAACGGAGGAGATCTCATGTACCAGATCCAACAGGTCGGCAAGTTCAAGGAGCCTCATGCCGTGTGAGTGTTCATGTGTTCTTCTGCTCCTGCTTTTTGCTGCTTACTTAAAATGATGTTCCCTTCAATGTACTCTTCTCTTCTTTATCAGTTGATGTCTGAACCCTTTCAACCGTCGGGGTGATCCTAAAATATCAAAGGCGTACTAATTAATCAATTAATAAATGAGTCTAAAGCAATTTGGCAATTGAAAATGACATAAAAGTAATAAAAATGACAGTACAGCTGGAGGTAAGACATGAATACACACCAGAGATCTCATATTTATACTAAGTGTTATGAATAAACATACTGCAGTTATTCTGGCGTCTAGACTTTCACCTCATGACTCATCATGCAGATTTGATGGCATTAGATGATTACATATATTAGTTAGCCAGAGCCTGCAGGTGGATGCTGGTGTGTTGGTAAAAGCAATTGAGGCAGAGATGGGAATACTTAATGCTTCCTGAATAGTCTGGAGGACGTGTTTAGTAGATCTCATGGAGATTGAGACACACGAAGTGAATGTGTGTGCAGCTGGAGTTGCCTGCCTGAACTAGCTCCGTTCATGAAAACGGCAAAATTAAAAGTGAAAAGGTTGCTTTTTTTTATTCATTTGATCACACGACGTACCGTTTATCCGTGTCAATACAGACACACAAACATGCTTAGAAACTGATGTTCGTCTGTGTCTTAGGTTCTATGCTGCAGAGATTGCCATTGGACTCTTCTTCCTTCACTCCAAAGGCATCGTGTACCGGTGAGTCAGTTTGTAAATCAGCTCACAGCCCTTTAAATTCATATGAGAATTCATGCGTGAGTAATACCTGTGCGTGTGTGTGTGTCTCAGGGATCTGAAGCTGGACAACGTGATGCTGGACGCTGAAGGCCACATCAAGATAGCCGACTTTGGCATGTGCAAAGAGAACATGTCCGATGGAATTACCACAAAAACCTTCTGTGGCACACCGGACTACATCGCTCCGGAGGTGTGTTCACGTGCTGTGACACAGTGGATGCTGCTCTTCCTTTTTGGGGCTTTTTTAAAATCTCCCAACTACGCCTTTGTGTGTCATAGATCATCGCCTATCAGCCCTATGGGAAGTCTGTGGACTGGTGGGCCTTTGGGGTTCTGCTCTATGAAATGCTCGCTGGACAGGTGTGTATCCAAATCACCGTAGTTACTCAATCGATCGAGGCAACAAACAAACAATGATGACGCACATTTGTGCCCACGCAGCCGCCTTTCGACGGGGAAGACGAAGACGAGCTGTTCCAGTCGATCATGGAGCATCACGTCTCTTACCCTAAATCCATGTCCAAAGAAGCTGTTGCTATCTGCAAGGGGGTGAGGCCGCACGCTCACATGCACGCTCACATGCACGCTCACGCCGAGACATGCAGATTGCTTTGGAAAGCCTATACGTTTACAGATAAACGGATCATAATGTTGTGGTGTCCTTGCGGTTGAGGGCTTTCAAATCGCTGGTTTACCCTTTCGATTACACTCCGTCTGTTAAGGGAAAAGAATACAGGCAAAGATGCTTTAGAAGAATTGTACATGATATTCAGTAACTAAACAGCTGAGCGAGGCGTCTGTCGGTATCCATGGTGATGGCTGTTTGAGCTTGACGATACGACCGCGGGTTAATATATAATTTTGTGCATGTTCTAATAGAGTTGTACTGTTTAACTGCAGTAGCACCAGTTAGGAGTTTTTCATTGATTTAGCATCAGATTCTCGTGAAGGCCGGCCTGCAGAGGTCTGGCACGGTCACTTCTTCTCACTCTATTATTATTATTATCATTTATTTTAGCTATTTTAATCTTTTTATAGAAAAATAATTATTTGTGTGTCTTCTCACGAACGTGTGTGTGTGTGTGATTTCAGCTGATGACCAAGCATCCAGGTAAGCGTCTGGGCTGCGGTCCGGAGGGGGAGAGAGACATCAAGGAGCACGCCTTCTTCCGCTACATAGACTGGGAAAAGCTGGAGAGCAAAGAGGTCCAGCCGCCTTTCAAACCCAAAGCTGTGAGTACGGTAACGCATACTTTCTGTTTTCACCTGCTGCGATTATCCTCTGTCACCCGAAAGCTTAGAAATGAGTCTCAGTAAGGAAGGGAATGACATACTTAGTGAAGGTAAGTTTTGTTTTTACTACATAGATATTATATATCGCATCGCCCATCCTCCTGCACCCACCCATCACCTGCCATTGGTCACTACTCTGACAAATGCTGAGGTGAGATTTGTAAGCGTAATCACCAATGACGAAGCTGAGATTTCACCGGCTCGCACGCGGACCAATGGAATTCCACAGTTTCGGCTGTGAGTGATTTGATTGGTTGATGCCATATTTTAGTTGGACTTCTCTTTTTTCTCCTTGTCGTTTGTTGTCGTCTTTGTTTTCTTCACATCCTTCATCAAACTCACTTCCCCCCCCCCCCCCCTCTCCCTCCCTCCCATCTCTCTCTCCTCTCCTCTCCACGGCAGTGTGGGCGTGATGCAGAGAACTTTGATCGCTTTTTCACACGCCACCCCCCCGAGCTGACCCCCCCAGATCAGGAGCTTATATCCAACCTGGACCAGGAAGAGTTCCAAGGCTTCTCATTTGTTAACCCTGAGTACCCTCACACACCTCACTGACCACACACCATCGCCGGGCTGCACTAGTGATCCCCGACGCCTCGGAAAACGCACCAAATCACAAAACCACACAGATCCGCCATCCGGCAGGGTGACGCGTCAAAGGAATAGTTCAACATTTTTTTGGGGGGAAATACTTGGATGACAGGATTGGTATCGGTCTCATGTCTGCGTGTCGGGTAAGAAGCTGGAGCCAGGCGGCGATTGGCGTTAACCGCTCACCTGGCTCTGTCTAAAGTTCTAGCCGTCACCGTAAAGCACATATTGTCGTATCACACGGTGTGTCTTAATTAGTAAACTTTAGTTGTTGTTTTTTTTTGCCGTTTCTCCTCCGGCTTCTAGTTTTTATTCCAAGCCGAGATGACACAGTTCCTTCCTGCACTCACATGTTGTTACCAATCCTCTCATCGATCTCAAACTGACAAATAAGCGTATTCCCCAGAAAAAAAAACCCATTCTCTAAATAACGCAGGAATGCAAGTGCGTGCAGGCGCTCAAACGGTAACAATCAGGAGAAATAGTCTGACGTCCACGTGTCAAGTTGCCGGTGGGGAGCCACTACTTCCAGTTTACTGTGGTTTAGCACACCGCCGCTACCGGCCGTACCTCCATCCTCCAGCTCCTGGATGCCGCCCGACTGCGCACGCCAGCAGGTTCAGGTCGGGGTCCGGACCCGGGGGGGGGGGCGACCTGAGCCTGCTCTGTTTCCGCGTCGCCAACCCCCTGTGATTGCAGATCAGTAGTATTGATGCGTGTGTGTGTGTGTGTGTGCTATACATACAATGCCAGAGAAAACTGACCTGTTGCTTTGCTATGATTGTTTGAGCGCCGATGTTTACTTTATATTGTCTCTAGGACCAAATAGCTTTACACTTTCTATTCCATGTTGTGATTAGCTTGAATATTTTGCCGATTTCTTGATGAGCCACAGGGGAGAGGATATACGTCTTTATACGCGCAGCCAGGAAAAAATGACTTTTGGCTGAAATTTGATTACTTTTCTCGCGACTCTAATGAAAACATTCCCCTCATTACACTGTGTTTCAATGACATCGCTTTGCTTGTAAAAAGAAAAAGAAAAAAACATGTATTGGAAGATTCTTGTGACGCTGGTAGTTTTTTAGGACGTCCAAAAGTGCCAAAAAAAAAAATTAGATTCAGAATCACGAGGATGTGGAAAAATAGTGTCCTCAACAACTGTGATGACGGGCGGCCGTCCCGTGCCATTTTCCAGTACGTGTAATTATTAGAAAATGCGTCATAGCTGGTCTCTTCTTCAACAATAAGATCTCATTGTGAGGAAGGTTGTGTGATCTTTTTGTAACCGTGTAACGATGCAGGGTTGTAACAACGTGTCAGACTTTGTTCTTTGAGCTCGTATCAAAAAGGGAGGCGCGCTGACGTCGCAGATGCTCGCCGATTAACCCGATCGATTAAGTCAGGTGGAAAAAGTGAGCGTTTATTGTGATGATTGCATTGGTGTCTATTCGATGGTGACATAACGAGAGAGAGAGAGAGAGGGTGAGGAAAATTATATAGATATATATATTGATATTATATAAGAGGTATTTGGACAAATTGTTCTGGATGAGAGCGATGCTTCTGTGGATTGTGTAATTGTCCTGTGTGACTGGAAACTGATAATATACTCACTGGTGCCTACCAGAATACTTCTGCTGTGTCTGCCTTGTTACTGCTGCCGCCTCCAAGACGGTTACCTTCAAAGAGCACGTACGTCTCATTTGGTGACGCGGTGAGAAGATCAGTTCACCTCTCGTCACACCTGGAAGTTGAATTTGTAAAATAAAATCCTAAAAAAAAGTTTAGCCGCGTGGATATTTGTAAAATAACTATCTATACAAGTAAAGTCCTTGGCTTTACCGTTCAGTCAGCTATAAATAACGAAAAAACTTGTCGAGACGGGATGTGGTTTGGGGCTTCAGGGGAAAAAAAACGTACAGCTCTTCTCTAAACGTAGTTTGACTGCTTACACAAAATTATTTTCCTAATCAGTGGAGATCCGAGTGAGAGACGTTTTTAAAAATAAATAATTTGTTAATAATGTAATAAAACACTAATCAAAAAGTCAAATTACGTTTTATTACGTACATTAGCGTTTTATCAACAATTCATTTATTGCTTATAAAAGCTACCGATGATGTCATCCACAAAACAAAACATTGCGGTGATAAAATACGCAGCGTCCCTCCGGCCTCATTCACAAAAAGCAGAGGAATTAATGGCGAGTTCGTGGACCAGCGGTAAAGGTGGGAAAGTTTCCTTCCGGCTGGGAGCCCTGAGATGAGACAAAACGGAAGAGGTAGGAAACTCTGTGTGTGTGTGTGTGTGTGTGTGTGTGTGTGTGTGTGTGTGTGTGTGTGTGTGTGTGTGTGTGTGTGATACATGTGTCTTGCACATGTCTGCGTCAGCTCCCTGTGTGAAATCCTTTCCGGTTGTGGTCTGTTTTCTGCAGCCGGTCTGTTTTATCGATCCATGTCTGTTTTGTACTTTAACGTTTCCTCTCTGCGACTGTGGACGTTTTTCCTGGATCTTTGTGCTGTTGAGATGTTTCGGTGGGCCTTTTTTCCATCTTTCTGGGTTTTGTCCGCTGGGTGTGTCTCCTCTTGTAAATCTTCCGTCCCCTCCTTTTTTTCATCCTCCATCTTTGTGCCTCTATGGGGAAGTCGTTCTTTGTGCTTCTTGTCAACCTTCTTCTTTTTAGCCCTTTTGAACGCCGGTACAAATCCACTCCAACTTTTTTTTTTTTTTTTCTGACACGCTCTCTCTTCCTCCTCCTCTTCTCTCTCCTTCACAGAAATCTCGCCGCGACGTCGGCAACTTTGACAAGGAGTTCACCAAGATGGCGGTGGAGCTGACCCCCACAGACAAGCTCTTCATCATGAACCTGGACCAGAACGAGTTTCAAGGCTTCTCCTACACCAACCCCGAATTCATCATACAAGTCTGAAGAGCGCCCCGGTCTGGTTAGACGCCGTCCGACCGCGACTTTGCTCCGAAACCCGTCCGGCCCAGTTCCACGCAGCCCCCCGAGGACTCGTCGAGCATCCTCTCGACGCGCGCCGCTGCGGCTTAAGCCGCCACGTAACCGCACGCGCCCCCCCCCCACACACACACACGCCGGCATCTGAACCGGACAATAAACGCAACCGCCGCCGCGGTGGCTTCATCTGCTGGATGGTCACACCGGGACTTGAGTTTTTGCAAATCAACCACGTGGTCAAGCAGGCCGGTGAAGTCCAGGCCCCTGTAGTATTCACGGGTCCTCGTGGCGAGCAGGTCAATACGTCGTCATGGGTGACTGTGTGTGTGTGTGTGTGTGTGTGTGTGTGTGTGTGTGTGTGTGTGTGTGCTCTTATGGATCGACAAACAGTGTGCGTTTGTTTACTTGGTTCTCTTGAGCTTGTAAAAGTTGCGTCATGAACATTCCGTGATCAATATGCCCGCGCGCACACACACACACACACACACACGGGCACACACATGCGGCGTCATCTGTGTTGGCTGCGGTTTGGAGGGAAGGAAGGTTTTTGAAAGTCTTGATTTATGACCTCATGTCTAAGCTAGTCCTGAACTTAGTCCTATAAGCACGTCTCGTCTTCCAAATTGATGCAAAAAAAAAGAAAAGAAAAGAAGAAAACTTCCCCCGAATGCCTGTTTTGGCAGCGCTGTGTAAAGATCTCTGTCTTTCTCTTTTCGGGCACTGTGTGCGCAGTGGTGTAGTGCTGTGTAGGCCTATACAGTCTTTGTGGTGCAGCTCCTCTATGCATGCCATATTTGTTGGTACAGTAGTCGTCCTAAGATTTGCGTTTGACATCATGGAGGAGGGGAAAAAAAACCCTCTGGTGTCTTCAACTTATCGATGAAAGTCACTTTTTTGAAATATCCATCCTCATATTTTGTTTCCACTTTGAATGCTGTGTCTCTAATAATGTCGAAATATGCTAAAGAGTTTGCTTCATAAAGCGTGGAGCAAACACGGTTTCATTGTCCTTGACGAGAAAATATGAGATTCTGTGAAATTATTACTATAAAATAGGTGTAATAGTTCTGTATGACTTGTGTTTCAGTGTATGTGTAAATAAGAGTGATATCTAGAAGTGTTTGCCATGTTATAATACACTTCTATGCTGTTCTTCACAGCCCCGTCTCACTTCCTCTCTGCCCTTTAACACTCCGCTGTCACTTTTTTCTTTCTTTTCCCATTTTTGTACCTCCCTCTTCCTCCCCCGTTCCCAACTCCTATTCACTTCTTCAGACGGAAGAGGAAAATAAATGTAAAATGATGTATGTAATATAGGGGGGGGGCAATGGAAGTGAGAATAAACTGTTTACTATGCAAAAGGCCGTGAAAGAATGAACAGGTTGATGGGAAGAGTGCAATTTTCTTAAAGCAACCTGAAGATATTGTGTAACAGTACATGTTGCATGCGCCAAATTTACTTGCGCGTGAGGAAGACTTAAAGTATGATACCTTCATTAAAGTGAATTATCGTTATACCATTTCAGTACTCACGGCTCTTCTGTTTTACCCAGATGTGCACAACAGATCACGCACCAAGACAGCGTCCAACGGTTCCACCGGTCTTCATCAAAGCTGCTACGAGGAACTCTGAGAGTCTTGCACTGCATTTTCCAATAGTTATTTCTCTCCAACCATCTTTTGAGTAGATGCTGTTCGCAATGGCCTCTTCACAGAAGCCCACGTCGTATTCAAAGCCTAAAAGATTCATATTGTCATTAACTGCTTGATTCATTCACATGGAGGCGCTTGGACAGCTCCTCTCCCATCTACCGCTGGATGTGACCTTGATGATGATATAAAGACTATGTACAGAGTATAGAGCTAAGATATCAATCAAAAGGTCCTGCGAAAATAATCTTCATTTTACAAACATGAAAGCTTGATTCAACCTTAGTTTGCGTTCTAAACCAAGAAGAATTAAGTTTTCTGTCGCCCTCGCTTGTGTAAACTCACATTTTAACACTCGCTGCTGTCCACGGTGCTGAACTGAATTTATTCAGGCCACAGGTTCGTCCAGTGATAGGAACAAACACACACACACACACACACACACACACACAGGGGGCGGGGTTACCCTAACCACACACAGTCAAGCTACAACAAACTAGATGTTGTCAGAGGACCGGTGCTGCTGGTGCTGCTGGTGCTGTTTTCTCCCAGCAACCTTTTGTTTCATGGCGGCTTTGTTCTGTTTTTGCACTCCTCTCCCCCTCGGCCGGCGTCTCCTCACTGGTTCTTCAACTGGCAATACTTCCCATCTCAGGGACTCTTAATCTAGGCGAAAACCTGCACAAGTCTCCAGCTGCGCGAGCGGGCCTACAGCTTAGGTGAGCAGAAGATGTGGACACAATCTGAGCGTCCTTCTGCCGAATGGATCCACACGAGGACCAGACACCGGGGGAAAGTTTTTAACAGTTTCTAAACCCTCGTTGTGGAGGAGGAGGAGTCTGGGCCGACATGAGGCTGTGTAACCGCGGGGTGATGATGCTGTTGACCACGGCGGGGGCTTTCTGCGCCTTCAGCCTCATGACCATCGCCGTGGGAACGGACTACTGGCTGTACTCCCGCGGGGTGTGCCGCTCCAAGAACCAGAACGACAACGAGACCGTGCGCAAGAACGAGGAGGTCCTGACCCACTCGGGTCTGTGGAGGACCTGCTGCACCGAGGGTGAGACGCACACAAGTGGCACCTGTAACTTTTTAAGATAAAGCAGCATTAGTGTCATATAGTGATACATCGTGAAATGAAAATGTGTCAAAGAGCTTTGAGCTGCAATATTTGTCTGTACTTCATATGAAGAATCAAAGACACTGGGAGTCCTTAGGGTGCGATATGCATGTTACTTCCACATGTGAGAGGATGTGTATTAGCACTGTATGGTGTATTAAAGGCTCTGTCAAATATAGTATTATCCTTAAAATGATATGGTGCTAATAATTGTTATTTTCATCCTTCCCTGTGTCATATCTCCAAAAGTTTGTAAAATGAAAGCGTGCAGGGGTAAAATCATGAGATGACCAAACATGATTGAGCAGCATATTTAAGTAAAATAACAAATACCACGATGTGAAAACAACTTTTAAACGTTTTCAATAAAGTGCATCTAAAATAAGTAGGCTGCAAGTACTTATATACTGCTGTTAAAATGCACTTAAAGTATCCAAAGTAAAATCATGAATGCAGAAAAATGTAAACACAGCAATAGAAGCCGGGACACGGAGGAGGAGACTGTGCCACCATGTTAGAGCCATAAAACAGACATTAACTCTCTTTTATGAACCAGTCTTTGGAGTCAGTTAAAAAAGGGATTGGAGTCTTGTTTTTATCTCGCTCTGTCTGATGCAAACCTCCAACTCTTTTGTGAGGCGCTGATAGTCTTTAGAGCAAATGTGCTCAGCTCCAACACATCACACACTGCAGCTCAGATGGATTCATGGATGGATTTAGATTGATCTCCAAGAGGGACGGGGAAGGAGTTCATCTCTTGGATATGAGATGGATGGAAATTACATTTTCAATTATTCATTGCTTTTTAACAGCTCATTTATTCTATCCTATATCCTCTGGTTGCACTTGCTCTGCTAATTCTGTGAATGAAATGGAAAACTCTTTCCCTCCGTCTGCCCCCGCTGCTGCTGACCCACTATCGCTAAGCTCCAAAATGGTTTGATGGGAAGGTAACAAAGCATGCAGAGGACATCAATGCTTCAACGGTCCTGTGTGTGTGTGTGTGTGTGTGTGTGTGTGTGTGTGTGTGTGTGTGTGTGTGTGTGTGTGTGTGTGTGTGTGTGTGTGTGTGTCCATCAGTTTGTGTCACAGTAACCCAAAAGCAGGCAGACAGAAAGACAGGAAGCTGAAGGCTCTCTGTGTACTATAACTAATTATAGGCGGAGGCTGTTGTGCAGAGGCTGCAGTGCATAAATAGTGACACGAAAGGCATTACAAAGACAATTATACTAAATAAATGCACACACAGCACCACAGACTATGGGACCCCGGTGAGAAACTGTCATGTCAAGCTGCAACAAATCTGTCCTCTAAAGTAACTGTTTGAATAAAGACTGATGGAAGTTCTCAGAACATCTAAATACGTAAAAATGTTAAAGACAACAAGTCACCTCATCGCTATTTGAATCCTGACTAGCATTTGAATAAATGCTCTCTCGGGAGATTTTTCTCTCTGACCTCACCGCGGCCGATTTTTAGCTCACTGAATGGGTTTTATTTTGGTAACCATGGCGACCGAGTCACATCATCAATACTGGTCAATCGGTGCAGCATGTAGGGCCCCGATTATCAATACTTCCCCGAGTGAGCAAGTGCTGAAAGGCACTGCTGGGTCAGAGGTCACTGGGAAGAGGCTCCATGCGTGCAGCTGATTTTGGACTCTTCAGAGGAATGTTGTATGTTGCGCTGCACCACAGCCATCGCTGGTGCTTTCAACGTTTCCTATGGAACCCTGTGTGTGTATTTGATTAAAGAAAACTTGGAACACAAAGGTTTTTTTTTTAGGTTTCTAACAGGAACCAAAAGGGGGTCTGTGACGAGGATAACACGAATCACCCCATGTTTCTACAGCTTGCATCTTGATTTCTATGAGTGTATTCTGTCTGTTTGGAAGATGGACAGTTGGTCAACATATTGAGTAGTTCTGTATTGGGGTTTGGTTTCATGCCAGCACATATGTTCACTGTACCATAGGATGTTTTCATGTGATTGATATCGGCACCAATAAGGAAGAAATAAAAAACAACAACACAAAAACCCGCAATCCAAAACGCTTGGAGTGGCAGCTAGTTTGGATTGTTCTAGAAAGCCCTCACAGGGCTGGCCGTGACCCCTTGACCCCTCATTCTCCTTCCAGGTCCCTTGGGGGCTCCTGAAATGGACACTGCTGTGGAACAGCCCCCCCCGCACAGATCGGCCCCCTTTATTGACTCTTTGTGTGCTGAAGAAGTGTCTGAATCCTCTTGATGTGGCTGATTGTTAAGCTGCCTGTTATTTGCATCAGTGTTATGCAGTGTTTCTTACCATTTGTGATTTTAGGTACCTGATCCGTAAGGCACTTTGTTTGCACAGGATGTTTTTTTAAATTATTTTCTCACTTTTCTTCATTTCTTCGACTCGTTTCTTTGCTCTGTGAAGATTATCATCACACAGAGAAATGTAATAATTTTTAAATAAATAACTTTCACTCCAGTGGCCAAAGGAGAATATCTGCTCTTGGAAAGTCGCACAAATCACATCATGTCGACTCCCTTTGAAACCCCTCAGTTCTACCTGGGTCTGAAACCATAGTTCAACATTAGGTTTGTTGTCTTTACAAGGCCGATAATGAAATAAGTGCACTATCAACCCTGGTGCGGCCCCTTTCCGTCTGCTCTCTGAAACGGAAAGATTAAGATTGGTAAATTCAAGAGGCCCCCCAACAGTTTTAATCAACATCTTTAGCATCACGTTCAGCAGCATGCAATTTCTCATTTAGAAAAAGTCAACAATATTTTGTATGTAGGTCATGTTTTAAAATGATACAGAGAGTCTTACTTTTTTTGCAGGGACTTTTCGGGGCGTTTGCAAAGACATTGATCACTTTGCTGAAGATGCCGACTACGAGCAGGACGCCGCAGAGTACTTACTGCGTGGGTAACACGTGTGCACGTGGAACCGCGAGTGATCTTACAACCATAAGGCAAGGCCTGCATGACCCCCCCCACCGCCCCCCACCCTCCTTCTCCTCTCTCCGCAGGCGCGGTGCGGGCCTCCAGCCTCTTTCCCATCCTCAGCGTGGGCTTGTTATTTCTCGGAGGTATGTGCGTGGCTGCCAGCGAGTTCTACAAGTCCCGCTACAACGTCATCCTCACCGCGGGTATTCTCTTTGTCTCCGCAGGTCAGAAACACACACACACACACGTCTAATGTGCACGCAGGTGTTTCCAGCATTGATCGCGCACCTGACCCTCCTCGTCTCTTCCAGGTCTCAGTAACATTATTGGCATCATCGTGTACATATCAGCCAACTCGGGCGACCCCAGCCAGAGCGACAACAAGAAGAGCTACTCCTACGGCTGGTCCTTCTATTTCGGCGCTCTGTCCTTCGTGCTGGCCGAGATGGTGGGCGTCCTCGCCGTGCACGTGTTCATAGAGAAACACAGGCAGCTGCGCACCAACGGGCGGCCGTCCCTCATTAAGACGCCCATCTCCCGCAGCTCATCTTACTACCGCAACCGCTACAACCACAGCCGCTCCTGTCGATACAGCTGCAGGAGCAACCAAAGCGCGGGGGACTCCTTTCGAGCGTCCTTGATGCGAGACGGAGAGCCGTCCATCTCGGCGGAATCCAAGGCCATGGCGGGCTTTCCGACGACGGCGGCGGCGGCGGACCCAGAGTTCGTGCTCTACGCTTTGACCTCGCCGCTCAAAGAGCCTAAAGTTGACACGGCCATGGATGATTTGACCGCTGCGGCGACGGCTCACAACAGCACAGAGATGCTGCCCGGAAACGGTGCCGCCAACAGGAGGACCACGCCTGTCTGAGGATGTAGAAAAAGCAAGAAAGGAGAACAATAAATGAACCAACGTTTTTTTTTTTTTTTGGTACAAAAAGAGGAAGGACCTGAATGGGCCTCCACACACTGATACGTCTGAAAATAAATGATAAAAAGAAGAAATCAAAACCTGCGTTTCCCAGTGCCGAGTTTGATGTCTCCAGCGTGGTGGTTTTGGCCGACAAACAATCCAAAACTCCCAAATATTACATTTACAATGATGCAAAACCAAGAAATGAAGTCAACTTTGTGTGTGTAAAGCTGGAATCCGAGAAAAAATGCATGTCATGTTGCTATGTGCTACTGCTACGCGAATGAGTGTGTGTATAATTAAAGGAATGTGTGTTTGAGAGAGACAGTCGTGCATAGAGAGACAGGAAGGAGGAGCGTTTCATGAACCTGGAACTATTACATAGAAATACGATACACACAAATCTGGGAATGACACAACTAACTATGTCCATTTCCTGTCCTCGTTTTTGGAACTAAGCTCAAAATCGAAACCCCATTAAGTCCATTAGATCCCTCCCAATCTGTCTGTCGCTGTGTCTCTGTGAGTGCGTATTGCATAAGTGTAACAAAGGGAACCATTATTTCTTTGTCCCTGAGTCTCTGTTTACATAATAAAGTGCAAATAAAGTGCATGAATTAACACAAAACATGCTTTGGGTAGAACGGAGCAGTGCTTTTGTTCTGTTCAGTGCACATTACAGGTTTATGTGAGGGAGAACGTTTGAATATCTATCCCTGCATAAAGCAAAGTATGACTATAAAAATAATAAAATCGCCCCCCTCCCTGTGGTGAAGGACAGGAAGATTGTTTTGTGTGAATGTGCATGAGTAAACTGTGTTAGAGGTTATGACGGTATAAACGGCTTCAGCTGCATAACAGCAGGGTCATGATGCGTTACCATGGCAGCAGCATCATGCAGGCGAACATCCAAGGCAGTTTTGATATCCACGCTCACGACGCCATCACGTCCTGACCACTCAATATGATTTATCACCAGACACCATGTCGCCTCACGCAACAAACCACCTCAGACGTGTTCAAATTCATTCCCTATTTGACTGTGTATATTTTCCACAAGACAAAGCAATCTTTTACATCTTTTTTGTTTTGTATGTAAGTTCTACATCGGTCAATATTATTACTTTATCGGCAACGGCAGGATTTCAACCCAAACCCCCGTAGAGACTGGAGCCGTATGCAGATGCCTGAGACGCCTCGGTCTTCCTCTGAAAACCAACAAACATCAAGTCTGTCTATATGGAGAAATAACAGAAAGATCACTGTTATGTTTATTACCTAGTCAATCACTCTCACATTGTTGATTAGTGTAGCATTGATGGCATTTTAATAAAAACCTCACTCCTGATTATTTGCTTGCTGTCTAATAAGTGTGGACGTATTAATTACTCTTGCCAACATGCCGCAAAACAATCACTAGCATGGAGCATTTTCAGTTTGAATGAGAACATTCATTAAAGATTCACAATGGATTGACATCATAGGAGTAATTATCGTGTTGGAGAGTGACGGTTTGCTTTATAAACAGGATGATAAAATATTGGCAGCGGTGGGATTTGAACCCACGCCTCCTGAGAGACTGGAGCCTTAATCCAGCGCCTTAGACCGCTCGGCCACGCTACCCATGCTGAAACGACGCCGCAGAGGTAGAATATGTAGCTAATAGAGGGTCAATAAGTACGATTATCATGAATATATTCATTCTCCCCGCGCGCGGACAACGCAATTAAACAGCCAAAGAACACCAGGAGCGCAAGATGGTTCGTATCTATTTGTAAACCATTGCCCTGCTTGCGCCAATACAGATGCAAGCACATGGTTTGCTGGTACAACAAGACATGTGCGTCTGCGGTGCTGGTGCCGCTGGAACTGACTGCGCTCGTGTGGAACACATTTCAAAATAAAATACACCTCCAGTCAGAGAAATGATCGACCCCCGCTGGAAATAAAATTCATAATTTGAGAAAAGTGACTTTTGAAACAAAACTCAACTGCAGTTACCCATGTATATGTCTTAATAACTGTATATCACACCTCTTCAGACGCTACCTGGACTAAAAGACACAAAAACAAATTGTAGCACTTAAATTGTACTTGTAATGCCACTTATCTATAGCAAATTGTAAATTGGATTATTTGAGGAAATTGCACTTTCTTGTCTCTTGCTCTTCTGAGTTTGTATCCCTATTGTTGAAAGCACTTATTGTACGTCGCGTTGGATAAAAGCGTGAGACAAATGACATGTAATGTAAAATATCGTGCAAATCATTTAATCCCGTAAATCAATGTATAGGGTATTTATTAATTTCATATTATGGAAATTGCGGTAACTAACGGCCAGTCTCGTCAGCCCTCAACGGAAGTGCGCTTCCATTTTGCCGTCTTGTGTCGTCTTCGGAAGAACCCTAGCTACTTCCGGTTCCGATCTGCGCCATTTTGATCAAACGGCGAGGAAGAGAAGCAGTTTGGATCAGCGAAATGGATTTTATGGATTTAAATTGAAGTTTAACGTGGATACACAGCTTTCAACTCGACGTGATGGAAAATGGCGCTCTAGGGAAGAGGAATCTTTGCGCCCCGACGACCTAACTGTTGCATCGGTTTGGTCATTCGACGGCGAATTTAGGCATCATTGTTAGCATAGCGCCGTGAGGCAGTAACGTTAGCCGTTAGCTCTGATAGGCAAGTGGTGGTTTCATGTTGTGTTGAGTGGCGAGGTAACGTTAGCTAATTTCGGGGTATAGCATGCTAGCCTTGACATTAGCTAACTAGTTTATTTAGCATTTAAACGGTATTACGATTCCAGAACCAGTTCGTCGGGGTCTATTTGCGGCGACGTGACATTTGTGGACTCCTTGCGGAAGATTTCATACCGTTTTCTGGACTCTTCGTGGAGCTTACTGGGGATTTGTCTCGACGAGTAAGAACTGTGCGAACGAGGCTAACGCTCAAAGACTCATGCTCTGGAAACCCCAGGCCCGCTGTTAGCTACACCGACGAATTGTAGCGCAGAGGCCCGGGCTTTTCCACCAAAGACTTTCCACAAAGGACATGGCCTCATTCACACCCCCGTGATAGATTTATCTTGTGCTGAATGGACTCTCTTGCTTAATCGGACTTTAAAGAACTGGCGAGGCACAAGGCGCCGCTCAATGGCGCTCTGGCCTCACGTCTCGATTTTTTTTTATTGGCAATAACAAGGACTGTTTCGCCATTCTACGAGCTGAACCCTTCCCCTACACCCACCTCCTCTTGTCTACAGTGTGTCGGCGAATATAAGGAACGTTTTCACATTAAAGTCACCAGATTTAGCTGTGTTCAGTGTTGACGCTGTTTTTATTTTGTTATACCACGCCTGTGTTTTTTTTTTCTTGTGCTTGATTGACTTAAGTGCTTAGACTTGTTAAAATGTCGTGTGTTCACTATAAGTTCTCTTCCAAACTGGACTACAACACTGTCACTTTCGATGGGCTGCATATCACCCTCAACGAGCTTAAAAAGCAGATAATGGGCCGAGAGCGGCTCAAGGCCACAGACTGCGACCTGCAGATCACCAATGCGCAGACTCGAGAAGGTATGTGGTCAGCTGACACGCTGGAAACCGCTCAGCAGCATGTCATCCATTATAATGGTGCTACTTGGAGTTAACTCGTGGACATTTTCGTGTGTTTTAACATTAGGAGTGGTATGTCGTTTCATGCAATAGGTTCAGGCCATATATTGTTGTGCACCCATCCAGGGCAGAAACTAAGGACTCTATAAATCTGCTGTTTTGTCATTCAAGCACCTGTTACATATTTATAAGACATTCGTCAGAAAATATGGAAGCGTATTTGAACACATAATGACATTCCCTATGAGTTTCCACAAAGGACTGCAAAGTACAGAGTCCCCCAAAAATCATCTTTCTACCAATCTGTTATATTAGTCTTTTGCCTCTTAGGCAAAGATAGATCTACATTATGCTTTTCCTTTGCCAGGTTCCTTTTCAAATGACAAGCCACTAATATTGTAATTATTTACAATGTATCAACTACCCAATGTACCACGTCACTATGAAAAAATATGTACTAAAAATGATTTTTATCCATTTATGAGCTTTTTGTTGTTTTTATTGAAATTGTGAGGCTGCAAGCCAAAGTAAACTCTTCCACCCTCTTTTGAGGCTGTCATTTAATTACATTTTTTTTTTTACCGTGCAGTGTATTTAAGACTATCTATATAACTGAACTTTACCATTTTCTTTATCTGGGCTTGAGTGACTTTTACATATTCTAGTGAGCAATGTTTTATGCCTTAACTATGATTTGTGTCTCACGTTTTGTAGAATACACCGATGATGAAGTCCACATCCCGAAACACTCGTCTGTGATCGTCCGTCGCACTCCGCTTGGTGGAGTAAAACCTGCTGGCAGGACGTTCATTGTGTAAGTATACCTAAAAGTTATTGCTAGAATCACATTTGAGTGGTGCCGTTGCTATCGCTTTAGAAATCAAGTACCCGTATAGATTTACACTAGATTCCCTGTTTTGTTTTTCAGTAGGGATCAGTCTTTCTATTAATAGTTAGGCTGCAGCAGATCCGGTGTGAATGCAGCCAACTTTACCCGTGATGTGTTTTTGCTCTTGAGTGTTGTCAACAACTGATGGTTTCTTTCTGCTCTTGTTGTTTCCTCAGAGATCGTTCTGACACAGCTGTGGTGGGATCTTCTAGACCCGTATGTAAAACAAACCCAAAATCAACACTCACTCCTCCTCCTCCTCCTCTCACCTCTCTCCCGCTCCCCCTCTTTCTGGCTTTAGTCACCTTTCTTGAGAACATTGTGTCAGTATTGATTGAGTTGTGTGTATCCTCTGTTCACTGTGTGTTGGCTACATTTGTGTTGAGATCTCAACCTGTGTTATTTGATGTCTTTTTGGGAGGGTTTCCTGGAGTCACCACAGTTGACAATAGTTTTTTGTTCCTCTAAAACACTGGGTTTCTGTTTTGAAATGAGCAGATTAAAGTTTACAATTGCAGAATGAGATGAGGTTAAAATGAGAAACAGACTAGCCAACTTTGTTTTTTTAATGATCTGAACATGTTGAACTGTTGCCACTTTACAATGAATTGAGAAATCCCGTGATTGTATTTCATATTGAAATGGTATTGTTACCTGCTTCAGGTCAGGAAAATGTATTTTAAAGGGGTTTGTAAAAAAAAATGGTATTTTGTAATGATAATCCATTGTCATTTTATTTTCTGTGAAAATATTCAATTTCTATCTGGTTTAAAAACCCAATGAAGTAAAGTATGGCTTGGACTGATTGTAATTAACTTTGATTACAATTACAAGACTAAAAGCTGTGAGTGGGAGAGACTCGCCATTGTTTTCTGATTGCTTTTGAAAGCTCACCCTGCTAATCTTTAATATACGTAAACTTGTTCAGTAATATTTGCCGATGTCAATTTTTTTTTGTCCTGTTCAATTTCACCATGAAGATGTTCTATTCTACATTGAGTATGGACTGCACGTAACCTTCAAACCCCAACGGCTCACAGATTTCATCCTGCTGAGTTAAAAGCTTTGAGTTTATTCAGATTCCTCAGTGTCTTGTCTCACAAAGACGCGGGAACTAGTTCAAATTACATTTTTTACAAGTGTGGTTCGGGTTATTGGTAAGACGCTAGTTTTGATTCTTGAGATGCTGCCCCATGGCCCCTGACTTACATTGCTGTGACATGATCACAAAGTACTTTGACAGACTATCCGTAAAGTAAATATCTTGTCATTCTCTGGAGGCCTTCCATGGCTGCTGCAGACACGTATGCTGGTGTAGTGTGTCCTGTAAGCTGTAAGCTGCAGAACCTGTCAATAAAGTTGTCCAGTGGTTCAGTGTCAGAACCACTCGCACCAGATCCCTGTGTGTTCCCTCCACAGAATCCTGCAAAACCCGGCTTTCCTCTGAGCCGTTATCATGAGGGACAACCCAACTTGCCCACTTCTTTATTTACCTGAAGAAAATAGGCAGAGTAGCCATTTTGTTTGTTGCCGTAAAGTAGGATTTATTTTGCTGTCCGTCTGAGATCTATTTCTCTTTTAGTTTATTGGCCCTCGACATCACCCAACTTGCTTTTGCCGTTCACGTTAGATGTGTCTGGGTTTTTTTTTTTTTGTAGGGAGCACTTTGAAGGAACACTTGACAACTCTTGGTAGTTTCTTCATCAGGCACTTTAAGGAAACATTTTCTACATGCGTCTGATCAGCTCTTTGACACGTTACAGTGTTTGCATTTGTCATTGAAACAGTTTGGCACTTTCCCTGCAAGGTCAACAGTTCACAGAACGCAGGCTTGAACTGGTTTTGAT